TGTGTTTGGTGGACATTTGGGAACTGAGCTACTTTTTCCCATGACACAACAGTGACACTGTGGAGGAGGACATAACTTTAAACAAATAGAACATTTATCACGGATTAATGCTGGCAGTTAGACTGGCAATGCAGTAGTTACTGTACAGTACTCTCCATCTGTCATACTCCCAGGTGGAAACATGATGTCATGCTGTGAAACTGAGGGACTGGTTTGAGGGATGTGTCTTACAGCTCTGATATGAAAAAGAGTGATCTAGAAGCTTTCCTCAATAGAAAGTATTATGGTCAAGAAGCATTCTGTAATCGAATCTCTCTAAATGTAAAGATTGGATGAAAAGTTTTATAGAATTTAAGAAGATTGGTCTACAATCTTTATGGAATAAAAAGACTGGTCTAGAAGCTCTCTGGGATTTTGAAAGACTGGTCTAGAAGCTCTCTGGACTGGGAAAGACTGGTCTAAAAGCTCACTGTAATGGGAAAGACCGGTCTAGAAGCTTTCTGGAATGGGAAAGACTGACCTAGAAACTCTTTGGAACTGAAACAAGGTTGGGAGTATAGGATGGGAAATTATTCTGGTCTAGAAGTATTCAGGAGTAGGACAGCTGGTCTGGAGGTTTTCTGGATTGAAAATACTGATCTAGAAATACTGATCTAGAACTTTATTCTTCTTGGAATAAAAAGACTTTCTGGAATGAAAGTCTGGAATGGGGAAAAATTCTGATCTAGATATATACTGAAAAACGATAGGTGGGCTAGAAGCTCTCTAAATTAAAAAGGAAGATCTAGAAATTCACTCAGATGAGAAAAGCTGGTCTAGAAGCTTTTTAAAATCGAAAGACTGGTCTAGAAGCTCTCTGGTATGGAAAGGACGGGCATAGAAGCTGTCTGTAAAGAAAAGGTTTGGTCTAGAAACTCTCTGAGATGGAAATGCCTGTCTATAATCTTTATTTATGCCATAGGAGAGAAAGAGAGTCAGGCAGCACCCTGTATTTTCATCTGTAGCTGGGTGGTTTGTATATGAATGTGAGGTGGCAACCAGCATAACTTCGTTTAAGTGTGAGCTAGTAGAGGTGTGTTTATATTTATCTATTCATAAAGAATGTCAGCATGAAAGACAAAGAGCATAGCCGAGAAAGAGAGTAAGAGAGAGACTAGCCAACAGAAGCTACAGTGTCATTCACAAAACCACCGCATTGAGCAAATAAATCAGAGTTTTCAGCTTTTCAGATTCTTAACTATGCAGTACTGAACTTTCAACCACTTAATAGTTACATATACAGTACATAACCATGAACAGCATACTGTTTTACTTTATTTTTTTATTTAATTTTCATATTATTTAATTTGACTGTTAACACTGGAAATTCACAAAGGACAGATAAAGGGGTTGCAGTTCTGTTGTATTAATTCAGACCTCTATAAATATGAAGGTGCTACATTATGATAAGAAAACAGCTTCACCTTTAATATTATTTATTCTTTTCAGCTCTCTTTATCAATAGTTTATATTACTATTTTCATGTATTTGTTGCTCTGCATTCTGATAAAAGTGTGCGTGTAGAGGGGGATATGTGTCTCCAGGTGTATATTTGTGTGTCTCCCAGTGTGGCAATGTTTGCACCGGACCTTCCCACCAAAAAATAAAGAACTAAAACTTAACCAACATAAATTCATTTTTAAATCTGCTTTTTCATGGTGTTTCTATGGTGACTACAGTGCGATGACACAACAAAAGAAAGTCATTTGGGTGATGGCGTGTGTGCTGTCATTAAAAACAAAACTATTTGATTTTTATTTACATATTTTCTGCAACTCCTTATCTGGTAAGAGCTTTTGGCTGTGCACACAAATTGTATGTTGTGATATTAGATCCAGTGCAGTGCAGAAGACAAAGATCACCCTTGAATTATTTCATTTCAAGTTTTGATGACCATCAAATACATGTTAATGTGCTTAAGGAGATAGTTCAGAGGAGATAAGATAAGCAATAAGCAATACTTAAAGCTCTTTGAGAGCGAGGAGAAAATCAAGCTCTGCTCTTGTTTCAGATCTGAAAAAATCCATCACGGGTCACGGGTCTGAAAGGATGTGTAGCTGTCAAGAAGCAGTTATTAAAAAAAGGAAAGAGTCCAGACCTGAACATCACTGAATGTAATTGGGCTTACTTGAATAATGTGAAGCAGAAAATGCAACCAACCTCTATGACTGAACTTTGGAGGTGTGGAAAAACATTGCTGCAGATTTCTTCGACACACTAAATACTGAACATTTGGTAACACTTTACTGTAGGGTACTGTTCATGAAGTTATATGACACCTACATAAGCTTATCATGACAACTGACATAATCCTACATAAATGTTTATACATGCTTATTCTATAAGGCATCATCTGGCTACTTTAGCTAACTGATCAAAATTGGTAAATGTAGCCTTTATAGCAAACAATGCCTATTGGAATAAGAATTTAAAAACATTTATGTAGCGTTATGTCAGTTGTCATGACAAGCTTATGTAGGTGTCATGGAGCCTAATGAGCGGTTCCCTACAGTAAGTCTTACCAAACATTTTGATATTACATTTAGTTGTTGAGGCTTCTGTGTAGCTTTTTGTTAAATAATATGAACATATGAATAACTTGTAGTGGGTGTTTGGACTGGAAGTTAAATACATGAAGGGTGGTCTTTGACTTTTGCACAGTACGGTATGTGATTTTTCTTAGGAGCAAACCGTTTCTTAGTGTTTCCCGAGCGTGTGTGTGTGTGTGGCATAGTGAGCTATGTTTGTTTGTCTGGTTTTCTGTTGTTTACTTTGTCTACAGTGGTCTACCATTCACTCAGTCTAAATAAATTTCTTTTCCTTTTTCCTGTTCTGTATTATTTCACTTCATATTTTTAACTTCATTGCTAGTATAGTTCATATGCAGCCTGCCACAATCGTGTGAAGCTTATTCATATATTTATACACATTTATACACACACACACACACAAATATGCTTTCTTCTCTCTCCCTCTCTCTCTCTCCCTCTCTCCCTCTCTCTCCCCGTCCGTTTTTCTTGTTGACTTTACTGGAGATTCTCGCAGTCTCCCTCCCCTGTGTTCCCAGTGTCCAGGACCCAGTTCAGCTGAAAGAGCAGAGCAGGAGAGTATTAATAACTCTCTCTCTCTTTCGCTTTCCTCCACTCCCCTGCCAGCCTGATTAAAACAAACACCCTCACTATGGGTGCACCTCACCCCTGTTTTCAGAAGTAACCTGTATCTGCTGATATGATGTTGTTTAGTTAAGGTAGGGGGTGAGATACCTACATTATCATGAGTTACCATCTATGGTCTCTCCACAACCTTCAATGAAGTTACTAAACAGAATAGAGTTTAAATTAGCATGATCTGGTAAGACTGCTTTAAGAGGAATTCCACCAATTTCTTAAAGTATTTGCTTAATTCAGTTGTTGAGGTGTAAATACATTTGTTCAGAGTGATCTGATATGAAACGTTCCTTCCTAGGGAAACTTACTGAATCAGAATTGTTCACAGTAGTGGTGAAAGGAATCAGACATCTGAAGAGTTTAATGTCTCCGAAAACATAGAAAGTTATACATGAAATAGTTATGAATTTGATGTCTGAGACAGTGTTTAATGATAGTTTGGACATCAGCATTTGGCCTTAATTTTACTGTTTTAGTTCATTTATAATGGGGAGGTACATGTAGGGTGTTATGAGGCAAAATAGTCCCCAAAAACATATATTTTTTTAAGATTTATCACTTTTACCATTGTCAATATTACATTCATGACAGTTCCCTGATTGTTTTGGAAAGTAAATATAATGCCTACATTTGTGTTCTAGACATTACGACCCCTATTTCCTATCAGCACATAAACCGTAAAATGTGCCAAAGTTATGGCATATTTATATTTTATGTCTTATTTTTTCAGTAATTTGCAGCAATTAAACTGTGCAGAAGTGTGTTCTCTGTAGAGGATGTGTTAACTTATTTTGACCAACCAACAAAACATGTCATTTGACTGGGGATGTCCAAACCTTTGCATACCACAGTATTTCTCTCACTTATCTGAGTGTAACCAGGGTAAATAAGAGAAAAGTTCGAAGTCTTCAGATTTGTTTTTGTTGTGCCTTTGTGTATGGATGGTTGTGAGGGGTGTTTTAACCTGTGTTTGCCCACCCACTCTGTTACAGCCAAGCCAGACACACTCCCATTCATGCTATCACACTCCTTAATGTGATATCAGTTGCTGACTTGTTGGATTAATGGTGTCCTGCATTCCACAGCATAGCCAGACGCAAAACGTTGAAGCATGTTTGAAAAAAAAAATCATATGAATTACACTCCTGGACACAAGTGGACTCTCACTGGGTCTTTTTGCTCCAATGAGTTAAAACAATACACCCCATAGCTAACTGCTAGGCTTTTAAGAAGTCTTTCAGGAGGCTCTTACAGCGGAAAAAGATTTACACAGCTGACACAATGTGGATTTTTAATGCAAAGAAGGCAACTGAATTATACACAAGGGGTCTAGGCTGAAGTAGGAGATGTTCTAAACATTAAACATGAAGCTTGACCTTCATTTGTTTGTTTCACACATTGCTAAACTGTTCTTTTCAGCCCAGGAGTGTCTTGCACTTTTTTGGCTGTATATTGGTTTGTGCTGATATATATGTGTTACAGTTTTGGGCCTAACCTCTTGTATATATGTAGCAACTGAATTTGGTAAGTAAATCCAGGAGTTCCATATCATCTGCTGTGACTGAGCTGTTGATGTATACTGGCTAGTAATAAATAGGGTGATCAGATATTCCATGGTCCAGCGGGGTCAGGAGGATGGTGGAACAACACGTTATTAGACAACACCTTATTAGACCCTTTATTTATTAGACAACACTTCTCTATAGATAACAGGAACACAGTACACACCTCCATTCATTTTAGACATGGTGACATGCTTCAGTCTAATGATTTCTGAGAACATGCTTGTTGTATACTTGTAAACTCTACAGGTACTGTAGTAATACTCTTATTTCACTGGTTGGAAACAAAATAGACAATTGTCCATTCAGATTTTTTTCTCTGTGCTATCTAGGTAGATACAACCAAGCAAGCACTCCTATTGGTTAGGCCTTCAGGAGCTGCACTGAAGGCCTTACATGTCAGATTAACTACCAACAAAATCAGGAATTGAGAGCAGACTCAATAAATCACAGCTTGACTTACAATGGTTGGAACCAGTTTTGTGAGGAAAAAATGTCAATTTTGGCTTAGCATTAAAAATTCTAATTTTCTAGATTTCTGAAAAAAAGATCTGCACATTTCAGTCATTGCTTATTGCTTCTGTTTCAGTTATTAAAGATTTACTCAGTGACATGCAAATAACAATTATTCAGATATATAGAAATATTAGTAATTTGATACTCATATCCCATAGCTGATAAATTTTACAGCATCTGCTTAGCTGCAAACAATTCATAATCTTTACTAATAAAGTTATGAACACTTTGTAATTGTAATTACAAAATGTAATTTGTCATGAATAAACTTTTACTCAATGCCAAGTTAATCCTTATTAAATCCTTTTTAAATATTAGTAAACATTTATCTGGCCTTTTTTTTGTAATATTGCGACTAAACTGAACTACAGTGGCATAGTGGGCAAGTGGCAAGAATGGCCTGGGTTTGATTCCTAGCTGGGGCGACCAAGGTCCTTTCTATGTGGAGTTTGTTCTCCCTGTGTCTACATGGGTTTCCTCCAACAGTCCAAAGACATGCAGTCAGGTCAACTGGACATGCTAAATTGCCCTTAGGTGTGAGTGAATGTGTATGTCTGTCTGTCTGCCCTGCGATGGACTGGCGACCTGTCCAGGGTGTATCCTGCCTTCCGCCCAATGACAGCTGGGATAGGCTCCAGTGCCCCACTGTGACCCAGAAGGATAAGCGGTTTAGTTGGTGGGTGTGTGTGAACTAGAGTGCATTTTTAAATACATATTATAACAATAATAATGGTTAGTGATTGATATTATTATCATTAATAATAATGAAAACAATGATAATTAATAATTGAAATAGAAGCATTTGTTCATGCATATGTAACACATAAATAAATATTAACAATCATTAACAAACAGTAGTGGTAATAGGAACCAGATGTCTGAAGAGTTTAATGGCTCTTAAAAGCTCCTTTTCTGAAAGTTTGTGGATAGAATGGCTACATTTGAGTTGTAGACATTGCGACACTTGGTTCTTATCACGACTGTTAAGAAGTCTGTAAGTTTCTCTACAATGCATCATTTCTCATCAAACCACTGGCTATGACTGCATGATTAAATGACCACACTGAATACATCTCAACAATTCATTAATGCAGAAATTCTGAGTAATTGGTGGACTTCCCCTTTATTAGCAGTGCACAGCCATAGTGGTTCTCTTTGGACAGTTGCAGTATAGCCTAGACTGTTTACTCTTAATCCTCCTCACACACTGCTGTCTCTCCAAACATCAGAGAGCAGAGACATTTGGCACTGGGCTGAAAAACCAGCCTCAAAGCTTTGTTTCTCTTCTCGCACGCTACTCTGCATCTCCCCCAAGCCTCGCTGAAAAAAGCAGGCGGGCAGTGGGGATGGGACGAGGCTCTGAAGTGAAAGAGAGCCCACAATAGTGTCATTAATAAAAGCTGTATTGGAGTTATCTGATTGACTCTGCAGTGCTGCTTCTTGATACGTGCCCCGCTTCTTTAGTGGACTGCTCACGTCTGACTAATCTTCTGACGTGAGTGAGCGAGTGAGAACAACACTCTCTCCTGACCCCTCTGACACACTGGACATTAGAGGAACACCACAAAAACTGTCACTGTCCAATTACTTAAACACTGCACTAGATACAAAATATGTCCAAAGGTTTGTAGACACCTGCTCATTGTCATAATGATATTACCAAATGTATCTTTGAGCATGAAAAGTCTTCAATTTAACTTACAGTTCTGTGAAAAAGTCAGAATCAACCCTTCAATCATTTAACTTTCAACTAAAATGGCAAATAAGTAAAAAAGGCAGAATACATATAATTTCACAGAAACTACACAGAAGCCAACCGCTGTAAATGATCACATTTATGTTTGTCCACACTGTGACTTAATTACCAGACTTGCTTTCAGTTTTTCAAAGAAATCTGCAGGGCTATTTTTCCACACTTCCAAAGTTCAGTCTCACAAGTTGGTTGCATTTTCTGCTTCATCCCAAACACATTTAATGATGTTGAGGTCTGGACTCCATTGTTCTGAGAACACCAGCATCTTTTTTATTAATTTGTCAATGTCCTTTTCTCAGTGGCGACTTCTTGAACAGCTACACATCATTTCAGACCCATAGCGTTGATTTGTCTTCTCACAGTGGAAGGATGGAAAGAAACACCTGTGGATTTTTTCAGATGTGAGGCAAGAGTGGCTTGATTCTCCCCTCAAAGCTGAAAACTCTCAGGAGTGTTTATTTGA